CCCACGTGATCACCATAAAAACCCTGCCAATAGACTTTTTTCATGCAAGAAAGTAATGATGCTTGGATGGGGGGGTGGAGTAGTTGGTCCAAACAAATAGTCTGTGCTCTTTCAGTTGCACTATTGGGCCACTTTAAATATCCTTAATGTTTATTATCTTTATAAAACACACTGTGGCATTTGTGGGCAAATTTGTGGGTTCTCCCAGACTTGTTTCCCTGCCCTGTAGAGCCTGATCGAGACAGAATGAGCAGTCCTTTAACAAGCCATGGCTAAAGGATTGCCTTGTGAGTATATCTAGTAGAAATCCCTTTCTGGACAGTCTGTCCTTAAAGAAAAGGCTAATAAAACCATATGTCATATATAATTATATAAACTTGCTTTAATAAGAAATATGGGATACATGGAGAGGGCTGAAATCTCCATAGCCTGGACTTTTGTACATCACCAAAATATTTAGTGAGGATAATGATTGAGAACTTTGTAGCAAGAACATTTATGTTCTTCTTCATAAGTCAGGTCACTTGTAGCTCTTCCTCTATTAAGAATAAACCATGAAATTTACCCCATGGAAGGAGATGGTAGCTGTGCCCAGAATATAATCATATTTTTCTGCTTCTTTTATTTATTTATTTATGTATTTACTTTCTTATTTACCTATTTACTTATTTATTTTTTATTGTTCTTCAAGTACAGTTGTCTCCATTTTCCCCCATCACTTACCCCCCAACCCATCCCGCCTCCCATCCTCAATGCTACTCCCCTTTGGCTTTGTCCATGTGTCCTTTATACATGTTCCTTGATGACCCTTCCTCTTTTCCACCCCATTATCCTCATCCCCACTCCTGTAAGTGTAACCTGATCAAGAAAATAAACAAGCAAGCAAAATTATAAATAGAGACATTGAAATAAAGAACAAATTGCTTCTTTTATTTATTTTTCAGATTTGATCAAGATATAATGGATATATAGTGTTACATGATCTTATGGGGTACAATGTATCCATAAGCAACAAAAGCAAAAATAAAGAAGTAGGATGACATAAAACTTAAAGGATTCTGCAGAACAAAGGAAACCATCAACAAAATGAAAAGGCACCCACATAATGAGAGAAAGTAATTGCAATTCATATAATAGATAAGGAATTAATATCCTAAACATATAAATAACTCATACAATTCAATGGCTAACAAACAAACAAACCTATTAAAAATAGAAGAGACCTGCCTGGTGCAGTTCAGTGGATCGAGTGACGGCCTGAGAACCAAAGTGTCACTGGTTTGATTCCTAGTCAAGGCACATGCCTGGCTCACCGGCCAAGTTCCCAGTGAGGGGTGCTCGAGCGGGAACCATGCACTGATGTTTCTCTCCCTCTGTTTCGCCCTCCCTTCCCCTCTCTAAAAATAAATATATAAAATCTAAATATATATATACAGAAGAACTGAATAGAAGTTTTTCCTAGGACAACATAACAAATGACCACAAGATAGGTGTAAATGACCGCAAAGGTGTAAAACATCCTAATCATCAGGGAATTTCAAATCAAAAACACAATGAGCTATCACCTCTTACCTGCTAAAATGTCATTTTTCTAAAAGACAAGAAATAAGAAGCATTGGTGAGTATGTGGAGAAAAAGAAACCCTTGTGTATCGTTGATGGGATTATCAATTGAGGTAAGCACTATGTAAAATAGTATGGTGGTTCTTCAAAAAATTAAAAATAGAACTGCCTTATGATTTAACAATGCCTCTGGTAGGTATATATCCAAATGAAATGAAGTTAGGATCTTGAAGAGAAATCTGCATTCTCATGATTATTGCAGCATATTTACAGTAAACAAAAATGGAAACAGCCTAAGTGCCTGTCAACAAATTAATGGACAAAAAAGACAAGGTATATGTGCAATTAAATATTACTTAGCCATGAATAAGAAGGAAATCTTGCCTTTTGTCATGACTTGGATGAATTTGAGGCATTATGCTAAGTCAAATAAATGATACAGAGAAATAAAAATGCAATAAGATTTCTTTATATCGGGCATCTAAAAAAATAGATTCATGGAAACAAAATGTACAGTGGTGTTTACCAGGGGCTAGAGGGTAAGGGAAATGGGCAAGTATTAGTCAAAGGGTACAAACTTCCAGTTAGAACATTACACGTTCTGGGGATTTAATATACAGTGGTAATTTCAGCTAACAATACTCTATTATATACTTCGCAGTTGACAAGCTCACTTTTTGAATTAATCATAAGATAGTGGGCTTGAAAGCCAGGTTTAGTTGACAAAGGAAAGGGTTCTCTAAATTTCCAAATCTCCTGTTTAAAGGTCAAAGCAAGCTAGCAAACTAGGAACAGAGAATTTTACTAGAGTTCTAGATGCAGTTAAGTGGGGAGGTAGTATCAGGGAAGTAAGCATCCGCCCTAGAGAAAGTGCCAGTTGTGTTGTTGTGAGATAAGGGGGGGGTGAGGCAAGAGGATGTACATTTCTGGTTCCCTTGCTTCTGAGGGTCTTATCCCAGAGAGGACAAAACCTCAAAAGAAAAAAAAAAACTCAAAATAGATCAAGAGAGACTCTGAGATTATCTGGTGATAGCAAGCTCTCCTAGCGTGGCCACAGTAAGAAAAACAACATGAGCTGTGGAAAGCATTTACAAAGGTGAGTCCATACCAGCACTACTTTCCCCACAGCTTCATGTATAGCAGATCCTAATGCCTCTCAGGTCTCTAAGAGGGTGAGAAGTGCTAAGGGGACCAGGGCATGCAGCACCCAGGATTTGGATGAGAAGCTTTGCTTGCCTTTGTACCCAAGGGCATAGTGTAGAGTCATTAGTATTAGGTTGAGGTCTGGGTATTGCTCCAGCCAATTCAGAGGAAGAGGCTAAATCCCAGAGCAAAGAGCTGGAAGTTTGAGAGAATGTGGAGGGTGGCAGACACTCCCATTCCTCCCATGTGCATTGATGCCACCCTGGGGACAAGACAAAGAAAAGAGAGAAACAGAAGAACAAACAAAAAAAATTACCAATAGAGAGCAAATTAACTGTAAAAGACTATTCTAAACTGAAGAAAACTATTTCATTACATATGATGTATAGTCTCTTCCTTAAGAACATGGATTTCAGAGTCAGACCTTTTGCTGCAAATTATTGTTCTGCCACTTACTCCTGTGAGGCTTGGGACAAAATGCTGCTCTGTCAAAGCCTCGATTTTCTCATCTAAAAAATGAGAACAACTTTAACAGCACAAAATAGTTTGTGAAAGTTAAATGAGATAATGGGACCAAAATGTTTGTAGTACATTACCTGCCACAAAGAATCTTTTAGTTATCATGAGTTATAAATATTATGAGAAATAAATACAATAAAATACCTATTTTCTGAAAGTGTATAAAATTGTAAGTAAAAGACAATTTCTAACTTTCTTTACCTTCTTGTTTGAAGAAATTTTTTTCCAGGAGTGTTTCTAAAGTGGCCATTTATTTCCTTTTTGTCTCGTAATGTTTAAAATCTTGTCCTAAGTTTAGGGAATTTCCCACATTACAAGTCTTGTGAAAGAACAAATCCATCTCCCACTATAGAAATGAAAAATGTCAGATACTTTTCTCAGCCTTCCTTGCAGCTGAAGTCAAGTAGGTAGTGTGAACTCAAGTAGTTATAAACACTCCCAACAGCTGCCTGCCACCACATCAGCCACCCGCACCCTGATACTGAAGTTGTTGGGTCTGGAAGCAAATGTCTGGCAGTGATGGAGGAGTGAGGGACTCAGGTGTCAGGTGACTATGGCTTCCCAAACAGTGGCAGCAATCAGGCCCCAGGCCCCAGGCCCCAGGCCCCAGTGCTTGCAGCAGCACTGGCCAGACTGCAGCATTGGTGTCCCTGTCCTCCTCCTTTTCACTCCCAGGATACATCTCTGTGCAGAGGAAGAGCCACATGCCTTCTGGTCTACCACTCTCTACCTCTCCAACATTCAATTTTCCAATGCTGTCATCTCAGAAGTAGTGTTTATTGAACAAGAAGGAAAATAGGGAAGCTGCCTCAGGAAAAATATCTAGCCATAGTGAGCCACCTTCTTCCTCTGTTTACTTCCTAAGAAGACCCAAGCTAGTCTGAGTTCACATCTGTTCCACACAGTATATCACAGGACTGGATATAAGTTTCAGGGACAACTGCTGTCCAGGGTTCAAGAAGCTCTAATACATACAATGCTTTCGGAGATAACCATGATGGAATTAGTTGACAGTATAGGAAAGTTAAATTCTTAAAAAATGATATTAACAATAATGTCTATTAACAATAGTATTAACAGTAATGTATAATAATCACTGAAAGTTTAATGTATGCCAGAATCTGGACAAGGTAGCCTTCTTAGTTATGTAATCTGCATAACCTTTTCAGAAAGACATTATTACTGCATCAATTTTTAAGTGAAGAATCTGAGGCACAAAAAGATTAAGAAATTTGCATAAGGTCAAGCAATTTCTAAGTGACAGAAATGAACGGTGACTAGCTGCAGACATTAAAAAATGCTTCAGTGTCATGGGAGTTGCTCAGAATGTAAGGTGAACTCAGAGAAGAGTAACACAAAACCTCATACACGTTCCACATGTAACTTAAATATGTTTATCATCCACAAGAATCACATTGTTATCCCTCTATATGCACAGAAAAAAATCTTCATTTTATCACCATAATGATAAATAGATTTGGTCTTGGTGATATAATTATAGTTATATTTATTTCTATCTTATCTGGTTTCTCAGATTTCTTCAATAAGTATCTTTAGCAGCATGTCCCAAGGCACCTCCAAGAACCTGTAACATTCATGCTGAAGAGCCCTCCAGAGACCATCAAATGTATCTTGAGACCATCAAGCCCACAAAAAGGAGTAACTTCTGAACAGCAGCCAGAACTAAAGGCCCAAGGTCCTGCTGACCCACCACTTCCTTCCCTCTCCCCAATCTAGGCTACACCCACTTGCTATTGACCTGAGTTTCCCTGCTACCTGGTCACCGCTTTCCTGCTTCTCTTTGAGGACACGGTCTGTTCACAGGATGTCTCTGCTGGAAGCATTCACCTTCTTGTCCTTCTGGGCAGGTGAGTAACAGTTCCTGACCTTTCAGTCTAGATGAGGGAGCAAAGAAATTCCTTAATGTTTCTTATATTATCAGAATTTCATTGGAAATTCTCTTCTTTTACATACAGTTGGACTTGGGCTATCAAAATTGGAGCAGCCTCAGATATCCATTTCCATAGTAGTAAAGAAAAGTGTTGACATATACTGCAAGGTTTCAAGCACAAATTTTGAAAACGATGTCATTCACTGGTACCGGCAAAAATCGAATCAGGCTTTGGAGCATCTGATTTATGTGAGCTCAACAAAAAGTCCATCTCAAAGTAACCAAGGTGGGAAGAACAACAAAGTTGAGGCAAGAAAGAATTCTCTAAGTCTCATGTCAATGCTGACTATAAACTTCATAGAAAAAGAAGATGAGGCCATTTACTACTGTGCTGGCTGGACACACACTACTACAACTGTTGAGACAACCCACACAATATCCTTTCCCTGGATCTGTGCCACATCCTTCCCATCAGTGGCAACCACAACCAGCACCCCCCTCTCCAGCTGGGCTCCTGAAGTCAGCCTTGCCTTGTCTGCAGCATTTTCTGAGCTCTTCAAGAAGCCATCTGGGATTGTGCTTGCACATAGCTCTCAGTTAATTCCAGGGATTGTGCTTCCACAGCTTTATTTGACAATACATCCCAATTAATTAAAGTCTTGTGTGGGGACGGAAAGCACAAGCTGTGCCATGGTCCACCATCTCATCTTCCAGTGACTCTCAGTAAGTTGTCAGGATGACTGGAGCCATTATTATCATGCATACTCAAGACAACCCTTTGGCAATATACTATTATTGTTCCATTTTCCAACTAAAAATTTAAGCTTATAGAATTTAGCTTTAAAGATTAGAAAGACAAGAAGTCCATCCTTTTTGAACTGGACTGTGAGACCATGATATTAAGTTCAAGGATTCAATACTTTAACTAAACACTAGGGTATCTGTATCAAATTAGGGATGAAGCAAAGTCATTTTTCTGGGAGGTGTGGGAAAAAGGTTTCAGCCAGCATGACATCCTCAGACCAGAGCTTCAGATTCACTGGAGATGTTACATGAGCCAGTTATATTTGGTAACCTTTGATTTTGTCTGTGAAAGTAGAAAGAACCTGCTATGATCTGAAGAACTAAGTGTGTGTTTTGTATAAGTTTGGCATAGTCAGGGTGTGTGTGTAAGTTGCTAGTTTATGCTCTCAATTCTTTGACTATATTAGCTACTTCAACTCACACTATATATACACCTGCTATCATCAAGTGTATTTGACTCACAAGGTAAGTGATGAATTAAGTGATTCAGTCACTTGTTCAAGTTACACAGCTGGTTTGTAGCTAGTTGACAGAGCAGGGTAAAGACCCAGATAATCTGGCTCCTCTTAGCTGTTTCACTAAAACCTTTCTAATTGCAAGACAATAAAAGAAAGAATACACTAGTCCCATCCTCATAGGGGAAACAGAGCTAAACATTATGGGACATTAACTGACACAAATTATCAATGTCTACTGAAGCATGTGCCCAGTATTTGAGTGACCGGGTGTCCTTCAGAATAAATTAAATGTCAATAAATTACCAATTGATTTTTCAATATAAAATAATACAAAGACCTATATTTTCAATTTCTAAAAGTCATGTTTGTAGTGGGATTCTTTAAGAATATAGCTGTCTCCTTTAAGGTTCCTATACATGCTGCTCACCATAGTTAAAAGTTACTGAAATAAAATCAAAATGTTTATTCTCTCTAGTCCCTATTTCAATGACTTATAGTCTACTATTTAATTTTGAGATGTACTGGAAGGGAAAATAGAGTAATTTTCAGGCCAGACAGACTCAAGAGACAGAATTAGACACATGATCTGTCAGCCTTCTCCCACCTATGGTGGGCTCATATTTCACTGAATTACATGGAGACCAAGACTCTTTATGACCATGATGGCATCTAAGTGGTGGCAATGTTGTCTTCTTGAACCTAAATAAAACCTCCCTAGTCGCTTTTATATTTTATGCAAGGAAATTAGAGACCAGAACCTAAGTGGTAAACATCACATGTGAGAAGATCCATTTCCCAAAGAATGCATGGAAAGTGTAGATCTTCTCAAAATATCTTTGATAATGTAGAGATAGCACTGTTCTTCAGCCATATAATGCCCACAGAGAAACACATAGAGAAAATAAATGTTATGACAGCTTTTCAGTACGACTCAGAAAAAAATTAGTGACATACCTGTCCGGATCATGAAGCATATTTCCTGTCAGTTCAGCACAAGAGTGTTGTCAGAACCCTTGAAACTGCTCATCTCAGCATCAGGTTGCACAGGCCTCCATGGGACCACCTGACCCACCATTTCCTCCTCCCATACTCTCCGCCCCCTGCCCTGGACATTCCAACCAGGTTCCTCACTTTCCTGCCTTCTCCCTGGTGACACAGTGTGGCAGACAGTAGGATGTCACTCCTGGGAACATTAATATTTTTCTCCCTCAGTGTTAGTGAGTTGCTCTTCAATTTATTTGAACATGGATGAGAGATAAAAGAGATATTTTAATTGTTTCTGTTTCTATGTCAGATATTCATGGGAATTTCCACTTTTCATTTCCAGTGGGACAGGGGCAGTTACAGTTGGAGCCACCTAAGATGTCAATTCAGAGCAATAGAATGTTCATATTGTGTACAATGTCCACTGAAGACTTTGAAAATACAGTTGTGCACTGGTGTCAGAATAAACCACACGAAATTATGGCACACCTGAAGTCTATCATCTCAACAAATATCCCAGCCCCAGTTAACTTAGGTGAACAAATAGTAAATTTGAGGCAAGAAAAAGTTTTCAAAAGTCTACGTCAGTCCTTACCATACATTTCACACTAGCCATTGACTAGTGTGCTGCTGGGATCCACAGTGCACAGGTGCCAAGATACCCAGCAACAGCCTACTCTGGGTCTCTGCCCCACCACAGCATTTCCACAGAGCACACTCAGCTAACTTCTGCCTGGGCTGCCAGCCTCTATCTCGCCTTTGCTGCTGCACATCTCAGTTTACAGGAAGCCAATTGTGCCTGCTCACACATTAGGCCCCACCTTCAGCAGAAAGCATTTCTGATCATGCCGTTCCCAAATCTTCATTTAACACACTTCCTTGTGAATTAAATTTTGACTGGGAATGAGTAAACACAGGTCCCATTAATCATATCCCTATCTAAATACTTCCACTAACAGGAATGGCTCAGGCTGAGGGAAGGAAGCATTGTGTACCAGCTCTCTATCTCCTGGACAGAGTACATGCACCTTACCACAGACAATTATCATAACACTCCAGCCCTATATTCATTATTTGCCCATTTTACAAATAAAATATTAAGCTCTGAGAGTTGAAGTGATTGGTCAAAAAAAGAAGGTCATATGTTTTGAACTGGACCATGAAGCTACCCTGAAAATGTAGACATCGCAATTCTATAACAAACAACATACTTGAGGTCAACTTGGGATGGAGCCAGTATCTTTTTACTGGGGGAGGCAGGAGATAGTTTATCACTTCACATTCAGGGTTGTGGGAACATTATATCATCAGAATGCAGGTCCAAAACCCTGGGGTCATTTGATTAGCCCACCATATTGTGAGTGACCCATGGTACTGCTTATGAAAGAGTGAGAATAGGTCCAGAGAATAAACAGCTAATAATTTTTTGTGTGGAACAGATGTCTATTGGTGTTCTCAATTCTTTGAGCATATGAAATTCTTCAACCCTCACTGTAACCTGTGAGGTCTCTTCTCTTATGACTATGAACACAATTGACTCACGAGGTAAGAGATAATCATGTATCCCAAGAACTTCTCCCAGTCATATAGCTGACCCAATGCAAACTAGGGCTGAACCCATGTAATCTAGCCTCAGAGTCTGACCTTTAGACCATACATAAGAGGATATAAAGAATGCTATGCATTGTTTCTACACCCATGAAGAAACCAAAACTAAACTTTGTGAAACATTCCCTGACACAATTTACCATTTAGTACTGAGTCATGACATCATAGCGACAAGGATTTGAGTGACCAGAAGTTCTCACAGAGTATGAAAAATGTCAATAAATTATCAATTTGTTTCCCAAATGACAACCCACTCTTCTTATGCAGTCCAGGCTGTCACCCCATAGAAGAATACGGATATTCCCTTGCATGTGTGACATACATAGCCCTTTATTTATTTGATAATATCTAAGTTTATGACAACATATTCATTCCCATCACTTTCTCTTCTAAGGACCCTGGTTCTAGTTATCAATTCAGGGAAGCCATTGGAAGAAAGAAAGGAGAGTCACAAGAAAAGCTGTGGTAGATCAGCCTGTCAGCCTTTCTCCTCTTACCTCTAAGGTACTCAACCTTTTGTGATTGCGTCCTGTCTGTGTAATTCCTGGTTATCTTATTCTCTCAGGGTTGACCCAAGTTGATTTCTTCAACCTATATAGGGTCTCACTGATCATCTAAACTCTTAATAAAAGCAAGGGTGGAGAGAAAGACCTGAAAGAATAAAAAGGAATGAGAACATAAGCTCTTTTCAGACAGGAAGGCACAGACAAGCTTGTCAACATACCACTGCCATCTTGTCTACTTGGTTGTCTCATAGGCCAGTAATGAGATGCTTACAGTGATATACTCTGCTGTGTTCAGATCTTAGAAGAAAACTCTCCAGCAGGTTTTCATATTTCAGGCTAAATGATGATTTACAGGGAAGAAAACATCTGATTTACATTGCATTCGAAGAATAGACTCTTATGCAGTCATGGAAAACAATGTTTTATTGTATTTTATTAATAAAAAATTAAAAATTCACAATATAGCATAAAGAAAAATTCATAAGTATCTAATAATAACTTTTTAACATTAAGACTCTTTGTAATGATAGAATAATAATAAAAGAATGGGGAATAAATTGTCTAAACTTTTACAAATGATTATTCCTGAGGGAATAGATAGTTTTATTTCTTCTATGTATGTTTTTTTTAATTAATTTATTTATTTTTTGAGAGAGGGGAAGGGAAGGAGAAGGAGTGGGAGAGAAACATCAATGTATGGTTGCCTCTTACGCATCCCCTGCTGGGAACTGGCCTGCAACCCAGGCTTGTGCCCTGACTGGGAATCGAACCGCGATACTCTGGTTCATCTTCTATGTATGTTGATTAACTTTATATATTTTCCTCAATAAGCTACCATGGTTGCATCATAAAAAAAATTTAACAAAGTATATTTGGTTTTGTTTGATAATAATACTCATAATAAGAATTTCTAACAGTATTGACTCATGATGTATCAGGTATTAATATTTGGGTGTTCTGTGCACTATTGTTGTGCATGATGATCATGTAAACCCCTTAATGCCTTGAAAAATACACACACAGGCAATGTGTAATGTAGAAAGTGAGGCATGAGAAACTCAAGTAACTCAACAAATGTCAGATAAATTTATCTGGTATATGAAGGTGTTTAATTATAACTTTAGTCATTAAATAATGCTCACATAGATTAAAGACCTCAACATTGCTTGCTAAGAAGTTAATTGAAAAAAAAAGAATATAAAGCCAATATTCAAATTCCACTTAAAAGTGTTTATTTATATATAATACCAAGCAATTCTATTTCTATTAATAAATATGTAGAGAAAATTCAAAGTAACAGTAAAGTATGAGTACCTTTTACTGTCATTTTCCATACCTCATTTTACTCAGACTTTCTTTAACAAACTGTTACTTATCTGAGCTCTCGTGTTTTCCAGATCTGGTCTTTGAATGAGTCACCTCTCTTCGCCACTGTTCTCATTGCCAGATGGAGGTCATCCTAAGAGCTACCTCACTGGAGTGTTGTAGAAAGGATCACACAAAATAAGTAAACAATTAGAATATTGCCTTACAAATAATAGTTTCTAAATGGATATTATATGCAGAGTTAATTTGAAAGCTTATTATTACATATTAAACATGTAACATTGAAATGTAACATATAACATGACATTGAAAATACTCCTGCATGTAGCATAGTGTTTATGAGACAGTTCAGAGGTCCAGAATGGGAAGTTGAGTCCCCAAATTGCTCTGTTTCCTCTATCTGCCAGCAGCTGCAGCCCAGCCCCTTTTAAAAGGCACCCAGATTGTAAATGAAGTTTGGTTGCCCTGAGTCGTAACCTGTGTGGTGACATACAGGTTGATTTAAAAATAAACACAGAAATTCTCCCGTGCTTGTGCATATGGCATCTTAAATATTGTCAGTGAAGCCCGTGTCTAATTTTTGTGGTGCTGTGTCAAAGAAAAATACAGATCAGGTTTCATACCTAAGTACTGAATCCACAGCAAGTCACAGAAAGGTAGACATAGGGTCCAAACATAACACGTGTCTTCACATTTCTGAAGTAATATTTCTATGGCATGGTATTTCACGAGAAACAGCTGAGTGGATGTGAGAATCGTCCCTGCCCTAACCCAAGAGGGATAAATTTATCGCAGGATTTTCTTTCCAGATCACAAACACTCTTACCCTATCTTCCCAGCATACATGGGACACAAGAAGCCTCACAAGTGCTCATTTATAGCAGATCAGGAAGAACCCCAGGGAACTGTCTGAGCCACCACTTCCTCCTAGAAACCAGCCCCAGCCCTGCCCTCCTCACTCTGCTCTGCTAACAGGAACCTCACTTTCTCACCTTCTCCCTGGGGAGCCAACCTGGCGTGTGGGATGTCAGTACTGGAAGCAGTCATCTTCTCCCTCTGGGCTTGTGAGTTACTCCATCATTTTTTACAAGAGAGAAGAACTTTTTTATTGCTACTTCTTTAGGTGTCATTTGTTCATTGGAATTTACTTATTTATTTAATTTTTGCTTGCAGTTTGCCTTGGACAGTTAAAGCTGGAGCAACCTGAAATATCAATTTCCAGGTCAAGAGATAAGAGTGCCCATATATTTTGTAAGGTGTCTTCTAGCACCTTTAGCACAGACTACTACATACATTGGTGCCAGCAAAAACCAGATGAAGGTATAGAACATTTAATATACATTGACCCAACAATGTCTGTTAATCGAAAGAACAACAAATTTGAGGCAAGTAAAAATCCTCAAACTTCTACTTCCACCTTGAAAATAAATTTCTTAGAGAAACAAGATGAGGCCGTGTACTTCTGTGCCTGCTGGACTGACACCCACGATAGAGTTGCCAAGATTCCCTCACAAGAACCATCTTCAGTCTGTGCCCACACACATCCTTCTCAACATGGGCAACCACAGAGGCTGCACAGCTGGGCACCCAGCCTGGGCCTCCCTCCACACAGAACTTGACTATTATTTTGACTGCAGAGATTACTTATAACATAAGTGGTATGGCTTAGACTCAAAAAGGAAATCATCAAATTCTAGGAACAATGTCTGTGATATTATACCTAATGTAACCATAATAACACATTTGCAATGTAATGATCATTTTTTCCCACTTTACCTTTAATAACTTGAGGTTAGAGACATAAAATTACTTTAAAAACCCTCATACTGCTACAACCCTGTCGGGCCATTCTAAAGATGTTCAGTGTTTATTTACTCCATACATTTTGGGGTGGATGTGGGATGGAGCACTTGCCCTCTCCTCCAGGGGGAGGAAGATGATTTATTCTGCACTGAGGGATGTGTCACGGCCTGATGAGCACACTTCCCTTTGCACAGGCCTGAGATCCCCCAGGGTCATTAGATGATCCCACACCAGAGTGGATAGTCATCAGGATCCCTTTCCCTAGGATCCTGGGAGGATCACAGTGTTCATTCACTAAGAGCTGCTGCTATTTCTCAGGCACTGTTCTAATTCATCTCATATTTTTGAAAATCTGTTCATATATTATCATGAGTCACTCTTGGAAGATGAGGAGACAGAGGCATAGAGATGTTATTTACTTTGTCTGTGGTCACTGGGATACTAAGTGCAGATGGAAAGCTGGGCTTCTGGCTTCAGTGACAATCCTTGCAACCAGTCTGCTACCTGCCTCTGAAACACAGGCAGTAGAAATGGCATCTAGTCTGTGGTTCCCACAGCTAAAGAGAAAACAAACTCTCATTCACAAAATAATTACTGAAACAAAGAGATTACTATTCTAAACTGAGGCTAAGTGTTATCTTCCTAGAAATCATATAAATACTATGGATGATTTGACTTTCAAAACATAAGAGAATAAAATATTAAACAAAAACATTTTATTTTCTATTATTTTTTGAGGTAATAGAAATAAATGAAAAAAGACACCCTTCTTTTAGGACATTTTCTTTTTTTTTTTTGAGATGTAAGGTATTTTTTAAATATATTTTATTGATTATGCCATTACGGTTGTTCTCTTTCCCCCTTAATTCCTCTCCACCTTGCACACCTCCTCCCCCAATATTTTCCCCTTTAGTTTATGTCCATGTGTCACGAGTTCTTTAGATTCTATATTTCCCATACTATTCTTGCCCTTCCCCCTGTCTATTTTCTACCTACCATCTATGCTACTTATTTTCTGTACCTCCTCCCCCTTTCTCCTCCTCCCACTCCCCTGTTGCTAACCCTCCATGTGATCTCCATTTCTATGGTTCTGCTCCTGATCTAGCTGTCTGCTTGGTTTGCTTTTGTTTTAGGTGTGGTTGTTAATAATTGTGAGTTTGCTGTCCTTTCACTGTTCATCTTTTTTATCTTCTTTTTCTTAGATTTAACATTTCATATAATAAGGGCTTGGTGATGATGAACTCCTTGAACTTGACCTTATCTGAGAAGCACTTTATCTGCCCTTCCAATCTAAATGAAAGCTTTGCTGGATAGATCAATCTTGCATGTAAGTCTTTGGATTTCATGAGTTAGAATACTTCTTTCCAGCCCCTTCTTGCCTATAAGGTCTCTTTGGAGAAATTAGCTGACAGTCTGATGGGAACTCCTTTGTAGGTGACTGTCCCCTCATCTCTTGCTGCTTCTAGGATTCTCTCCATTTTAATCTTGGCTAATGTAATTATGATGTGCCTTGGTGTGTTCCTTCTTGGGTCCAACTTCTTTGGGACTCTCTGAGCTTCCTGGATTTCCTGGAAGTCTATTTCCTTTGCTAGATTGGGGAAGTTCTCCTTTATTATTTGTTCAAATAAGTTTTCCACTGGTGGCTGTTCCTTCCCCCCTTCTGGTGCCCCTATAATTTGGATGTTGGAATGTTTAAAGATGTCCTGGAGGTTCCTAAGCCTCTCCTCATTGTTTTGAATTTTTGTTTCTTCATTCTTTTCTGGTTGGATGTTTCTTTCTTCCTTCTGGTCTACTCCCTTGATTTGAGTCCCAGTTTTCTTCCTATCACTATTGGTTTCCTGTGCATTTCCCTTCATTTCACTTAGTTTAGCCTTCATTTGTTCCTCTAATTTGCAACTAAAATCAACCAGTTCTGTGAGCATCCTGGTCACCAGTGTTTTGAACTGTGCATCTGATAGGTTGGCTATCTCTTGGTTGCTTAGAAGTATAGGCTCTGGGGCTTTGAGCTGTTCTTCTGCTTGAGCCATAATGTTTTGGTCTGTTCATGCCTGTTATGTACGAGGGGCGGAGCCTTAGGTGTTCACCAGTGGGGGGCAACCCAGGTGGATGAGTTGTGACGCTGTATGTGGGGGCGGGGTTAGAGGGGGCAATGGTGCTTGTTCCAGGCTGTCTCTCTGATTTTGGTCCCCTCTGCTGCTTCCCAAAAGCAAATTGGGCCCTTCTGGTTCTGGTGTTCGGATGTGTGGGCTTGTGCACCCTCCAGGACCCTGTGGATCTCTCCAACAAACTCTGTGTGAGCTTGGAAGCCTCTCCCGGCACCTCGACCCCTGAAAGTTTTTCAATCGGTGCTTTTAGGCTTTAATTCCCAGTGCTGGGGCCCTGGTTTGTGCAGTCTGTCTCACTGCTTGTTTTTTTGCCTGGTTTATCTGCACTCAAATGTTTGACCGCGCACTCTGCCAGCTGCCTTGTGCCCTCACTGGGTCTGCCTGTTGACACTCCACGCCGGGGATCTACCAATTGCTGCTTTCGAGCCTGGGTCAGTCTGGCCACTTTTTCCTGCAGGACCCTGTTCAGCCAGGCACTGACTCTGCCCCTCTTACCAGTCTGGCTGAATGGTTCGTTATTGTCAGACTTCCATACAGTTCAACTTTCTGTCTGTTTTGGTTGCATTTTTGTTACTAAAACTTTGTTGTCTTTAAACTTGGTTGTGTGAGGAGGCACAGTGTTTCCACTTATGCCTCCATCTTGGCTGGAAGTCCTTAGGACGTTTTCTCATAGGATATATGCCTCTAATACTCCTGGAACACAGCCACCTCTACACATTTACATACTGTCTCTGACTGCTTAGGAGCTACAGGTGCAGAGACGAGTAATCACAGCACAGACCTTATGGTTCACAAAGCCTAAAATATATGTTATCTGACAACCTACAGAAAATATTTGACAGCCTTCATTGTGCAACATGAAGTAAAATGCAATAAAAAAGTATTGGTAACTTTTACTATATGAAAGTGAAAGCAAACTTTGTAAAATGAAAGGGAACATAAGTTGAATCAAAGAGTAAATCACAAACTATGGAAAATATTTGCAACCTGTTTAGAAGATAAAACCTTACTATCACTGATATGAAAATTACATTTTAAAAATGAAGAAAAAACATTTAAACTATCCTATATGAGTATGGGAAAAGACATAAAAACCAATTCATGCAGACTAATGTAAAAATATCTCAAGCATAGTAGGTAGGTAGAAAATAGATAGGGGGAGGGCAAGAATAGTATGGGAAATATAGAATCTAAAGAACTTGAGACACATGGTCATAAACTAAAGGGGGGAAATGGTAAGGGAGGGGGTGTGCAGGGTGGAGGGGAATGAAGGGGGAATAGAACAACTGTAATGGAATAATTAATAAAATATATTTTTAAAAACCCTCAATTTTACTTATGGTAATGTAAATGCACATCAAGACTGCTATTTCTCATGCATGAGATTTAATAGTTAAATTAATTAGGGAAAATAATATACATTTCTGGCAAAATGCACAATATAACTTTTTGTTGAGAAATTTGGATATCTCTAACAAAACTTCATATGCATTTACTTTCTCATGAAGGAAAAATAGCCTTTTGAAATTTACCCCTAAGGCACAACTTTCAGCAATATAAAATACATATGCTAATGTTAATTGTTCTATAACTGCAAAATATTTCAGTTACATAAATATACAAACATAGGAGAAATTACATATTGAAATTACATAAATATACAAACATAGGAGATTGATTGAATAAATGATGGCACATGTGTAATGGAGTATATAGAGCTCTAAAATAGAATGAGAGATGCAAAATTACTCAAAATTCTCTATATAGTTGGCCCTTGAACAACATTGGATTTGGGGGCATTGATGCCCTACACAGTAAAAAAGAACTGTGAATAACTTTCCCCAGACACTTAACTACAGTCTACCCTCAGTATCTGTGGGGCATTGGTTCCAGGACTGCCTGCAATACTAAAATCTGCAGGTGCTCAAGTTCCTTATTTAAAATAGCATAGAACAATGCATAGAGCCAGCCCTCTGCACCTTCCAACTCTCCAACTGTGGGCTGAAAATGCTATTATTGATCAGCTATTGGTTGAATCTGTGGATACAAATCCCATGGATATGGAGGGAAGAGAGTATTTACTGAAAAATATCCTCATGTAAATGGGCCTATGCAGTTCAAATCTGTGTTGTTGAAGGGTCAACAGTCCTGCCAGTTAACAGTTGGAAATTTAAATTTAAAAAATAGTACTATTTACAATTGCAACAACAACTTATATAACATTTAGAAATAAATTTATTCAAAAATATAAAGGATGTGTATGCTGAAAACTACACACTTTGACAACAGAAGTTAAAGAACAACTAAATAAATTGAGAGATATGCCATATTCATGGATTGGAAGACTCAATATATTTAAGATATCAAACTTTCCTCAAAATGATACATAAATTTAATGTAATCCCAATCAAAATCTCTGGAAGACTTTTTGTAGAAATCAAGGTGCTTCTTCTAAGATATATATGGGAGTGCAAAAGACATATAATAACCAAAACAGTTTTGAACAGATTACTACCTTAGATGTATTCTTAAACTATAATAATCAAGACAGTGGGGTATTGGTGAAAAGATAGACATAGATAAGACCATTAGGAAAGAGAATCCAGAAATAGGTCTATACATATGTGGTTAAATTATTTTTATCAAAGGTGCCAGGTAAATACAAAAATGAACAATGGATAGGCTTTACAACAAAGAGTATTGGAACAATTGTTCATGTATGTGAAAAAAAACCTCAATCCATATTGAACACCATAAACAAAAATGAACTTGAAATGATATACAGATTAATGTAATACTGAAAACGATAAAACTT